CTGACTCAGCTTTGAGTTTCAGTGGACGATTAGAACACTCCTCCTAAAAGGGTTAATGTTAAACAAACACTAGAAAGTAAATCCTCCTATTTCTATATGCCATCAACAGTTCGTAGACAGCCAGAATTATGTTTCAGAAATGGAAGAAACTCCCCATGTGCCCATCTCCACCACCTCAAGGCTGTGGCTGCCCAAGAGGCAGAGGCTCTCTTACACAGCTGATCCTAGAGCTAGAGAAATCTTCATGCCTGGAATACAGAGTTAAGCCAGTCATGACGCCTTTACTGATTCTAAATTTTATTCTAGAATCTGTGAATTGGAAGATAAAACCCATTCCATAATTCAGGCTTACCTGAAATCTTGTAAAGCATTTCATGACCTTCTGACATTATAGGAGTACCTTAGTAAACTTCATTTTGACAATGTTATTAGCACAATTTTGTTTGTTAGTCTAATTTGAAGCCATAAGTCTGATACAAAGATAGAATAAATACAATATTTAATATAGCTGATACTCAAGATGTATCTATGGAATCAAATACCAGGTAGTCAGAATATTTTCAAACAGCAACTACTTTCCAAGTCTGTCTCTGATTATAGGAAAAAAATTTCCTGCAAAGCCTACCCTGTTCAATTTGTGAGAATTTATTATTTTGTTCTTTTGGTTTTCTTTAACTAGTTTAAGCCTCTGTCTTAAGGCTCTGACTTCTCCCCTCTCCCAGAAGCACAGATCATTATTTATAAATAAAGAACATATATGCAGCTAGAAAGGTAGTTATTCACTACCTTTTCAAGGTGACAATACTAATTAGGTAAGTAGAAGTGAAAATAAAACATGCAAGGCTCTCACAATTTTAAGGACTTTTCAAAAGTAAATTCTGGACATACTCCAGTCCCTCCAAAATTTAACAAAAAAGAAGGAACTAGGTAATTTTTTGCAATACTCAATTTTCACCAAGGTATCTATCTGTATTTAAGCATCAAATCAATGAACTGTCTAAAAATGTTCTAATGCTATATAACACCAACAAAGTTAATAATCAGAAAAGCTCTAGCACTTTCAAAATGTTATATATTTAATTATTGCTCATAAAGCACATGTATTCTATTCCTTCCCATAATGTTACTGTTCCTGCAGTAAAAAATTCAAAAGGAAAAGCTTAACTGAGGAGAGGGACCTATTCTTCTTTTAGACAATATGAAGTGTTCATAATGAAATCAATGTTTTAAAACTTTTTTCTTTACCTGTCAAAAGTTATGTGAAAGTGATTCAACCACTCAAATAAAATTTCACTCAGAAAAAAGATGCAGGTGATAAGAAACCTGAAACATCATCTAAGTGATGGTCCCATTTTCTCATTAAAGATGGTAATATAAAAAAGTATCTAGCAAAAAAGATCACTTTCTACCAAAAGATTGTCAATTTGACACAAATAGAGTATATTCAATCTAGTACACAATCATGTTATGACTGTATATAACGTGGCTTATTTATAGTAGTTTGGAATTCATAAGACTAAGTAAGTAACTGAATTCCAACTTTGGCCTACTAATTTAGAAAAACCAAAAACTTAGGTCAACTGAACTACAATGTAACTTAGTATTATTAATAGATACAATTTTTAACATGGCTCACCAACTTGTTCAAAAGGCCACAAGCAGGAATTTCACACCTGCAAGAGAACACATATGATAATCCTCATAAAATAATACTATAAATATTCATGTGATTTGGGAGTTGATTGTCAAGTTAAATGCCAAACTTGATCAGTTTGACTTTGCTATTATCCTAAAATGATTTTTATGTTTCTTTATTGTTAGCATGGAAAGCCACTAAACTGATCAGACTTTAATAAAATTTACTGTAAGAATAAAATTCTTGAAAAATATTCAACCTACACGTAGCCTTCACTTATGAATTTCATGTCTCTCTGAAAAGCCTACAGTTGCAAAACATGTAAAGTCAAGGAAGGCAAAATAAAAAATAAAAAAAATATATATATATAGTGACACTCTGTTCTTGTAATAAATTATAAAAACATATGTAACAATATGTATGTAAAAAACATTCATTCACATGTAAAAATTATGTTTTCTCCAGAATAAAAATGAATTTAAGAGGCCTAAAAATGTGAATGGAAAGTGCAAATGCCTATATTTTATATTTCATATAGAGAACATAATCATGTGTTATTTGTGTAATTAACAATAGAGAAAAAAGTTTGTAGATCAAACCCTACTTTCCTATAATCTTATAGATGTTTTCCCACTAAAAAAATATTTTAGCCCAATTACATAATCATCATGATACTTAAGAATATCACAACTCCTTTCTCAATATCTGCTCTAAAAATTATTATACTATTTAAATAATACTACTACTCTAATCTCCTAATAAAACTTAATGTTTGCCACTCAAAAAGCAAGTGAGGCATCTTTAGAAAGCTCAAAGGAATTGATTTTCTCTCAGTACTTTCAGCATTGCCTTACTTTTTCAGTTTTAACACTGGAATTACTAGCTACCTTCACTTTCTACACCCTAAATAGCTCAAGGCCCTATCCTAAAACATGACTGATGTGTCCTAACACTCTTCACAGCTTTACTGGTAATATCTTTATTTTTTATTTCTGATTCTAAACATATAGCATTCATCTGAAAGGAGTATGTAGTAAAAGATCTCAAGTAGAGTTTTATATTGATAATGTTTTACAGAGTTTAAAACTCAGGACAGTGAAAAAATGTTTTCAAGCAGGAACAGAAACACAAAGTTGTAAATTTACTGTTACTAATAAAAGAAAATCATATCCATCTTAAAAGTGGCAATTGTAGGGAGGAGGACAGCAAAGTTAGATGGGTGTAGTAGCAGACAAAGAAGTAGGGAAAGAGGAAGTAGAAAGGGAGAGGCAAAACCATGTTCTATCACATGGTGAAAGAGATACACATTTTAAGGGTGGAGAAAGATCAGAGGAACAATAACTTCACTGTCCATTACACCTCCCAGAAGACAAAGAGAAACATGAAAAAGGCACCAAAATACACAGTAGTACCTACCATTACTGGAAAGCTAAAAAATTAAAAAGTAGTAGCTGGAAGAAATCATCACCTGTTAAAGGCCAGAAAAGGGGCTAAAGAGAACAGCAACTGCATTTTTAACTCTACTCCTTCTTCCCATATGAAAATAAGAGTTGTTCTTTTCCTGACCACTCACTAAATTTCCCCACTATATATATATAAATAGTATGTGAGGCCTTGGCTTTCCAAAATGAATATAGCAGATTAAAGGCATATAGCATTATCAGTAAAAATAATTATCGAACCAGTAATTTATTTAAAGATCTATCACAGAATATTGGTTTACATGAAGATATAAAAGTGTATGCACATGCACATTTAAGGTAAACTACCAGTCAACAATACAAACCTGCAAGAGCAAGACCACTGTTTTGCCTCTAGAGGGCGAACTTAGTCTTCTGGAAAACTAGACAAAAGAAGTTACTTTCAGACTTAACAAAAAAAGTTAAAATGTAAGATATTGAGATAGCAGAGATTCCCAAACTTTCTTGGTTAACCTGCCTTTAGCATATTGGTAATTTTTTCATGACTCCCATTAAACCAACAGAAATATCTAATCATTCTGCTTATTAAGTAATTATATCCAACAGTTGTAAAGGACTTACATCCTAACTTAGTAGCCATTTGAAAAAAATAATACAAATTGATAGAAAAAGTTTTATTTTATTCTTAAATAACCACAATTAATCAGCATTCAGGTATGTACACTTATTGTGCACTGTGCAACTTCACAAGATTTGAAATCAGATTGGATACCGTCACCCTCTTTTCCTGTCCCACACTGATTTTTGCAAAGTATCTGATTTTTATCACAGCAACCTCAGAAAAACCAGATTCCCAAAGATATGATGTCACAAAAAAGAATACAGTGCCATTTAATGTTGAAATTATATACTCCCTCAAATCTGCACTGTATCCTACAGACGTGGAATTATCACTGAGCTTGCCACAGTTCCCCTATGCATTAGCCACAGCACATGGGGTGCCTAGACACACAGCTTGGGAATCACAGCACAGTAGTTTTAAGTCCCAGCAGCTATATAAACTAGTCAACATTTTAATTACTTCAAATAAAATTAACTATAAAAATGTTTTTGAAGGTCTAAAAATTACTTTATTACAGGGGGAACCAGTTTTTCTTTTGAGCAATAAAAGGAACACAAATTTTTAAAGCAGAATATTTCTTCCAATTTTCATGATGACTACTGCCTTACTGTGATTATTCCGATAAATTACAACTGGGAAGGAGAGATATAGGAAATTTATTACATATCTCTTTCTCAGCAACAACTTCTCTGAACTTAAAAATGCTGCAAACTGATCCAGTATCACTGATCTCCTATACTAAGGAGCACAAGTTCAACAGTCAAATAAGATCTGAAATCTTAAAAACTCAAGAATATGTACATTAATATAGATATTAGAATTGGCTCCTAAATTACTAGAAACAGATTATATACCCACCCCACAAAGTCATGCCCACAAAGCCTTTGGTTTAGGCAGAACATTGGAAAAATAACCAAGGAAAGAGATCAACTTCCATTATCTACTCAGCTTGTTTTTTACTCTTTCATCAGTTCACAGCCACTTATATCCACAAAATATGTACCATTGGCAAATGCTACCATGTTCAGTTAGAAGTCAAAGTATGTGGTGAGAATGGTTAGCTAAGAAAAAAAATGAGAGGAAAAAAGCTATCCAAGGAATAACTGGGAAAGAAAATCAATGTTCTACCACTTTAAAGAATTTTCACAACCATAAAAGATAGTTTCAAATATGTGTATGCTATATTTTAAGCTTACTAAAAATATCTATAGTCCCAAAATTTTATATGTAGAAAATATGAATAAAAGTGGAATGTGGTTAATTATCAAGAAAAGAATATATGATAAGCTAAGAAAAATGACATTGCTATATGAGTACGTACCTGCTGGATGATTTTGGAAGCTTTCTGAAGATTCTCTCTGGGAGGGACTTTACCAAATAATTTCCAACCAGGAGCACTATGAACAACTGATCTGAGTTCCTTTGTCCTTTTTGGAAAAAGGCTTCTGAAACACAGAAAAGTTACATGAATTGTGTTTTTTGGTAACCAGGCAACTTATTAGTAATAACTTTTTAAAGTATGCTTATTCCCAAGAAAAATACAAAAATCTTTTAAATAAAATTATTTCTACTACCTGTACTACTATTAGACTAACAAGACTCAATTAAGAATACCTGGCTTATATGGAAATAATAAAAGAATCATCAACAGAGATATTAGGAAGATAAGCAAATTGGGAGAAAAATGACAACTGTAAATAAGATGTAAATATTTGCTTTGAACCACCTACAGAGTATCCTACAATTGACTATTCATGTACTTGACAACAAAAGCCAAGAATTTGAGAATAAAAAAGTTAAAGAGAACTTTTATATAAAACAGAGGTGAAGTAACAATCTTTTGTGGAAATACTATTTAATTATTTTCAGTAATAATCTTTCATTGTTTATAATAAAAGGGCATCTACTGATTCTCCATTGCTACAATATATGTACACATAAACTTTTTCCTAGAACAGGTATGTATAAGAAAACTTACTGCAAAAGAATGAATATATAACCAAGGAAGAAAATAACTTCTCACTAAAAATCTAGGGGGGGTGGGGAAGAAACCTGCACAAGGATCAATAATTTTACCTATTATCTCCAAACTCTTACCAGCCAAATTAAGTATCTACTGCACATTCAGGCATGATATTCAGAATATGTATTCATTAATTTAGCTTGACCAGGGCACCCTCAGAAAGGTATTAATGCATCCAACTGAGTACTAACTCTTCATATAGGCTGCGATATAAATGATCATTATGAAAAATTTACATTTTCATATACAGTTACAGTTACACATTATCTGAAGCCCCAACCAAGTACTTGGCAGATCTACACTCAAAATATCAATATGCTTGTTTAAAAGAACACTGTGTTAGGAAGGTATGTTTTTAATGTATAATGTCAAGGCTATTCTTCAAATTCACAAAGGTACCACTGGACTCCTACAAAAGAATGTGGGCTACTCAATAATAAATTACAGAAACACTCTCATTTCCTTGAGTGGGCAATGTAAATAAACTGATGACTGTGTAGAGTCATTTCTCTTCAGGATATTCTAGAAGTTTCATCTCAGAGAACACAAATAATGACTCAATTCTCTACTTTGTAAGATCTCTAGATTGGAATCTTCCAATGATGATTATGTAGAGGACTAGCATATTTATAACAAATAATTCCAAGCATGATAGAATGGAGTAGTAATTTAAACAATATTTGACATCTTGTGTGCCACTTACCAACTTATTGCCTTGTAGCTCCATCATATTCACCCTGTAATATATGCTTTGTGAACAGAATTTCTATGAATGCTTCTCCTTTAAAGTTCACATGAAACTCTAAAGCTTTGAGGGCACTAAAAGGGACTTTGCAGGAGAAACTCCTGTAGTGTCCATCTCCTGTAGAGTGTGTTAGTGCTATACATGTGGATATCTAGTAGACAAGGACATCCAACAGATATGATTCTTCTCACTCATGTGCCCAGAACATGTAGTCCCTCAGCAAACCTGTAGCTTCAAAGAACTCAGTCTGGATATGGCTTTTCCATAGCTCTCTTGACATGGAAAATGGCACCCAAATGCCACCACTAACACAATTCCCTCCACAAGTACCACTGAGTTCACCTGCACCCCTTGGACAGTTCTCACCAAGTCATGCTTCCCCTATAAGCCCCCATGTGGCTTGCCTATACTCTAAAGATTTGCCATCCAGCCATGCTAACACAGAGAATCTTTGATACCAAGCTTTATGCAAATAATTCTTCATTGTAACATTCAAAGCATGATCCATTAAAAAAAAAAAAAGGTAAGCTGGGGTTAATCAAATTTAAAACATTTGCACTTCAAAATACAGCACTGCTGTAAAATGGAGTAGGAAGACCTAGAGGTCAGTCCCTCCACTAAAGTAAAAATTTAGCTGTTAAGAGCAACTAGAATCATCCACTTTAGAACTCTAGAACCTTATAAGACACTTACAACACCCAGGGGAGGATGTTGATCTCCTGCAAGTGAATGGCATGTGTGAATTACCATCCCACATTCCTCAGCCCTTCACTCCCTCAGCACTGGAGATAGCAGTCCATGTTCCTAGATTTGACTGGTGAAAGCAGGGATAGTGAATGAAATGTCCTTCTGAAATTTGGGGTTGTGGATTTTGGTTGGTGGCAGTGCCCTGAGCAATAAGCAAAAACACTTGTATCACTTTCAGATTTCTCTGCAGCACCAACTTCCAATGATGGTATCTACTGGAACATTAAGAGATAAAACTTTTTGCCCCTTTTTTCGTTCCAGTCATTTAAGGAAATCTTTGTCAGGTCACCAGCTGACTACAGAAATGACGGAAAAGACACTTGTGACCCACACAAAACAGGATGACTGACATACTTTGCAAAAATAGTTTGCAAATATCTCAGATAACTCCGGCCCTAAACAAACAAAAAATCAGAATCACTGAGAAGTGAGATAACAGATTTACAGAGATACCACATTATAATGCTCAGAATGTCAAAGTAGCAACAAACAAAATCTTACAATATATACAAAGAAAAAGACAAGTATGAACCCTTCACAGGAAGAGAATTTAACAAAAACCATGCCTGAAGAAGCTTAGACAATGGAATTATTAGTCAAAGATGTTGAATCAACTGTCTTGAGCATGCTCAATGAGTTAAAGGAAGGGGGTGTATGAACAAAATAAGATTATCAGTAAAGAGACAGAATCATGAAAAGGAATCAAACAGAAATTCTGGAGCTTAGAAGTAGAATAACTAAATTGAAAAATTCCCTGAAGAAACAAAAGCAAAAATGAGTGGGACTATATCAACTTAAAAAGCTTCTGCACAGCAAACAACACCATCAGCAGAACAAAAAGGCATCGTACAGTATGAATATATGTGTAAGTGACATATCCAACAGGGGATTAACATTTAAAATACATAAAGAACTCACACACCACAACACCCAAAAAGCAAATAATCCAATTAACAAATGGGCAGAGGATATGAAGAGACAGTTCTCCAAAGAAGAAATTCAGATGCCCAACAGACACATGAAAAGATGCTCCACATCACTAATCATCAGGGAAATGCAAATTAAAACCACCATGAGATATCACCTCACACCATTAAGGATAGCCAGCATCGAAAAGACTAAGAACAACAAATGCTGGCGAGGATGTGGAGAAAGGGGAACCCTCCTACACTGCTGGTGGGATTGTAAGGTAGTTCAACCATTGTGGAAAGCAATATGGAGGTTCCTCAAAAAACTAAAACTAGAAATACCATTTGACCCAGGAATCCCACTCCTTGGAAGTTACCCAAAGGATACAACTTCTCAGATTCAAAAAGACATATGCACCCCTATGTTTATCGCAGCACTTATATCACAGCACAATAGCCAACATATGGAAGCAACCTAAGTGTCATCAGTAGATGAATGGATAAAGAAGATGTGGTACATAAACACAATGAATACTATTCAGCCATAAGAAAGAAACAAATCCTACCATTTGCAACAACAGATGGTGCTAGAGGATATTATGCTCAGTGAAATAAGCAAGGCAGCAACTTTTTCCTGGACACATCTCCTCGGGCAAGAGAAACAAAAGCAAAAATGAACAAGTGGGATTACATCAAACTAAAAACCTTTTGTACAGTGTAGGACACCATTAGTAGAACAAAAAAGGCATCCTACAGTATGGGAGATTCTATTCATAAACAACTTATCTGATAAGAGGTTAACATCCAAAATACATAAAGAGATTTTTACCTAAATTTTCTTCTAAGAGTTTTATGGTTTCATAACTTACATTCAGGTCTTTGATCCATTTCAAATTTACTTTTGAGTATGGAGTTAGACAATAATCCAGTTTCATTCTCTTGCATATGGTTGTCCAGTTTAGCCTACACAGTTGTTGAAGAGGCTGTCATTCCCCATTATATATCCATGGCTCCTTTATTGTATATTAACTGACCACATATGTGTGGGTTTATAACTGGACTCTTTATTTTGTTCCACTGATCTGTGGGTCTGTTCTTGTGCCAGTACCAAGTTGTCTTGATTATTGTGGCTTTGTAGTAGAGCTTGAAATTGGGAAGCATAATCCCCCGAGATTTGTTCTTCCTTCTCAGGATTGCTTTGGCTATTTGGGGTCTTTTGTGATTCCATAGGAATTTTCAAACTATTGGTACTAGTTAATTGAAGAATGCTCCTGGTATTTTGATAGGGATTGCATTGAATCTGTAGATTGCTTTAGGAATGATGGTCATTTTGACAATAGTAATTCTCCCTATCTATGAGCACGGGATGTATTTCCATTTATTGGTGTCTCCTTTAATTTCTCTCATGAGCATCTTGAGATATTCACATTATAGAGGTACCAGAAGAAGAAGAGAGAGAAAGGGATAGAAAGTGTTTTTGAGAAGGTAATTGCATCTCTGGAATAAATCCCACTTGATCATGATGGATGATCTTTCAATGTATTTTTGAATTCAGTTTGTTAATATTTTGTTGAGGATTTTTTCATCTATTTTGTGTGAATGTGTGTGTGGTGTCTTTGTCTGGTTTTGGCATTAGAGTGATGGTGGCTTCATAGAAGTAGTCCCTCCTCTTCCACTTTTTGGAAAACTTTAAGGAGGATGGGTATTAGGTCTTCTCTAAATGTCTGATAAAATTCAGCAGTGAAGTCATTTGGTCTAGGGTTTTGTTCTCAGGCAGTGTTTTGATTACCAATTCAATTTCATTGCTGGTAATTAGTCTGTCCAGATTTTCTGTTTGAATCTGGGTCAGGCATGGAAAGTTATATTTTTCTGGGAAGTTGTTCATTTCTTCAAGGTTATCCAATTTGTTAGCATGTAATTTTTCATAGTATTCTCTAATAATTCTTTGTATTTCTGTGGTGTCACCTTTCTCATTTCTGACTCTGTTTATGTGTGTAGACTACTTTTTCTTGATAAGTCTGG